GGATCTTTAGCCAAAGAAAACATTTGATTTGATTCCACGAAAAAGAAAAAGATTTTTAAAAATCCTGGTTGTCCAATCAACACTGTTCTGTTCATTTTTTTGTTATTATTATTTGCTTCAACTTGCAGCTTATCTTCATGTAGTTACCAAGTTATTTGTTTATTATGTAACATAAATTATTTACAGTCGTATACTTTGTCTTGCTTTTATTAATTTCTTTTTACCTGTACCAGTGAATCATTTACAGCTTCTATAAATCTCTATCCACAGTCCTGATTCGTTTTATCTTGGTCTCCATTTGTCTGGTTTTTACACACTCTGCACATTATATTTAATCACATGCAAGGACAGAAACCAAGTTAATAAGTGTGTGCATAGGTTTGTTAGCAAAATATCTCATGAATGGCAGGATAAATTCTGTTGAAAATCACAAAAATAGTTGGTAAGTGTGATTCAAAATAACTCTGCCAATTCTGTAGAAATTAATTTTTATAAGGAATAAAAATTCCAAAAATGCCAAACTTCCTGCTTCTGTCTCTGGTTCTCTGTCAGATGAGGCAGCTTTAGTGTCACTAGAACCTGATTTATGTCTGGACAGTTTTTGTCCTGTTGAGCTTTCTGAATTACCTAAAATAATAAYTATCCAAACCATCAACATGTCTGCTAGATCCCATCCCAACCAGACTGTTAAAAGAAGCATTTCCCTTAATTAATATCCATATTTTAGATGTATTTAATTTATCTTTAATGAATGATTATGTGCCACAGAGCTTTAAGGTTGCTGTAATTAAACCTTTACTTAAGAAACCTGATCTTGATTCAGGAGTTCTGGCCAACTATAGACCTATATCTAATCTCCCATTCATGTCAAAAAATTCTTGAGAATATAGTTGAAAATMAACTATATGAACATCTGGATAGAAATAATCTTTATGAGGAGTTTCAGTCAGAGTTTAGAGCTCATCATAGCACAGAAACAGCACTGGTGAAAGTTTCTAATGATATTCTCATGGCATCAGACAGTGGACTTGTGTCCATTCTTATCCTGTTAGATCTCAGTGCTGCATTTGATACAATTGATCACAATATTTTATTACRTAGACTTGAACTTGATATTGGGATTACAGGAACAGATCTAAAATGGTTTGAGTCTTATTTAACTGATAGATTTCAGTTTGTTAATGTTAATAATGTATCTTCTTCTTACACCAGAATTAGTCATGGAGTTCCTCAGGGTTCAGTGCTTGGACCAATCCTCTTTACTATGCTTCCATTAGATAAAGTTATTAAACAGCAAGGGATAAATTTTCATTGTCATGCTGATAATACTCAGTTATATTTATCTATGAAACCTGATTAATCCAACCAGTTACTACAAGCATGTCTTAACAACATAAAAACATAGATGACCCTTAACTTTCTGCTTCTAAACTCAGATAAGACAGAGGTTATGGTTCTTGGACCTGAACATATTAGGGATCAACTTTGCAGCCTTTCACCTTCTCTGGATGGCATTAATCTGACCTCCAGTTCTAATGTTAAGAAACTTGGTGTTATTTTTGATCAGGACATGTCTTTTAAGCCCCACATTAAAAATGTTACCAGGACCGCCTTCTTCCACCTGCGTAATATCACTAAAATTAGAAACATCTTGTCAAAAAATGACGCGGAAAAACTGATTCATGCATTTATCACRTCTAGGCTGGACTATTGTAATTCTTTATTATCTGGACATCCAAAAAACTATTTAAGAAGTCTTCAGTTAATCCAAAATGCTGCTGATAGAGTTTTAATGAGAGTTGGAAGGAGATCATATTTCTCCAGTTTTAGCTTCTCTCCACTGGCTCCCTGTCAAATTCAGAATAGAATTTAAAATATTAATCCTAACGTACAAAGCTCTTAACAACCAAGCTCCATCATATATTAAACATCTTATTGTTCCATACTTTCCTAACAGAGCACTTCACTCTCAGACTGCAGGTTTACTTGTGGTTCCTCGAGTTTCTGAAAGTAGAATGGGAGGCAGAGCTTTCAGTTATCAAGCTCCTCTCTTGTGGAACCAACTTCCAGTTTCTGTCCGTGAGGCTGACACTCTGTCTACTTTTAAGATCAGACTGAAGACTTTCCTTTTGATAAATCATATAGTTAGACTTAGGTTTCCAGAATTATTCTTCATTTCTACTGCTATAGACTTAGACTGCTGGAGCACAAACTGAGCACATTTCCTCACTCTGCTGTTGTCTTTAGTCTCTCTTCTCTACGTTTATTGTAATTATTTTTATCATGTTTTTTCTTTGTCTCTTCCAGAAGAAGGTGCACCTGGACCAGTCCCGGACCAATTCTTCTGTGTTTGTCTGCTGTGTCTCTTTCCTTTTCCTCAACCAGCCGGTCGAGGCAGTTGGCCGAAGCTGATTTAGGATTTGGTGTAATAACGTGATGGCGCTTGGATTTTTTYCCCCCTGCGTGATAGCAATACGCTAGTAAGTCTTTTAACAACAGTCTATTAACAAAATATCTCATAACCCACCTGATGGATATTATTGAAACTTTCAGAAAATGATATACATCTACAACTGATTAACAGTAACCAGATTTATGATGGCTGAAATGTGTTTCTACTCTTTTGTTAAAGAAAAACTCATACATTGCTTTTGAATTGTGGCTAGAAAGAAATATTTGAAACAAACAAACAAACAAACAAACAAACAAACAAACAAACAAACAAACAAACAAACAAACAAAACTATCCTCAATAAAAAAGGATGTGTCCCGATAAGACTGAAAATAATTTGACCGAAGATAAGAGTTAAACTAAGGCACGTCCTCTAAAATCCACAGATATTGTTCATTCTTGTAATTAGTCAGTCTATTTATATAAATATAGCTGACAGGTATTGACAGGTACAAACTGTTCTGTTTCAGATCTGATGGTTCCTTTTCCAGATGTTTCTTTTTCCTCAGATGTTCARCAGGATTTACATCAGAGCTCGTTTTGTTCTGAGCCATTCTTGGGTTTTTAAGTACTGATGAAAAAATAAGCTTTTAAACCACTGAATGAATATGAAGTATTTTGAAGCGTTTCATACAATCATAGAGATAAATAAACCTGTTGTTATGTGCAAACAATTAAATATGGCGCCATCTGCTGGCCAATACCAACCATACATATTCATTTGCATAAAACACAGGGCAAGGGTGTCATCAAACACTGTTATGTAGGCTATAAGGGTTGTATGCTTTCTTCAAAAAAAAAAAAGATTAAAAATTACTTGTGCTACAATGTGATTGTGGCATCATAAAAACACGGCATATTCTTATCAACCTGAAGCTCGTCCTGGATAATCATTTTTGTGTTAAACTAAATAGGGCCTAAAATTTACATTTTTGAAAACTTCTATTTCATATATGAGTAAGTCATGAACTATGCAAAGATTTGTTGAAAAAAATCTAAAATAATATTATATTGAACTAAACTCTGCCCTACATGCCAAAACGTTATCATTACCATCATTACCTTGCACTGTTTATTAACATACAAAACCAAAAATAAACTGTTAAAAATCAGTGTAAAATTGTAAATAAATTGTAATTGTAATGTACTGTTAAAATGGTGTCATACAGTATTTTTCTGTTACCCACCGCCAGTGGTGGGCACAGTTCCCCTAAAGCACTAATAGGGGAACTAATTTCCTGATTAGTGCTTTAGGGCTTTTGCTAATTTTAAAATTTATTAGTGGAGTGCTTGCTAAATTTATAGGCTATATTTAGAAGCACTAACTCAGGTCTATAAATGTTATTGATCAACGTTAATGTTAACAGCTGAGGG